ATGTTAGAAAGGCTTACCCATTAGACTACTCAGTCAGCGCTGACTGAGTAGTCTAATGGGTAAGCCTTTCTAACAGAACATAGCTCTTACCCTCAACGCCAAACGTTTTGAGAAGATCAATACAGCAGTCAACAGTACAATGCGCCCTTACAGCAGTGACGCCGCTCAAGGGGTGTGCGTGCAACGGTAGGGTCGTCTCGCCAAAACGGGCTCCAGCCAGTCACACTGTCTATATGTAGTTACGTTGGAAGACGATCTTCGAATTCTTGGCGCGCGTGATGAAATAGGCATGTTTCTAGACGAACGTTCACGTACAAGGACAGTCGCAAATGCAAAGCAATCGGACTCTACGTCGTTTTCTAGAACTCCACCCCTTGCAAAAGTGCCTGCGGTCATATTGCAGCCAGGTGCACGTCTATTTCAGGGTCAGGAAGAACTGCACGAAACAAACAGAACGCAAACAAATGCACTGTAGTTGTAGAAAGGCCTCCTGTGACACGAGTCTTCTTGTTGAGATACCGGCAAAAACAGAATGAACAGTGCGTGGCGCAAACTTGTGTCAAGTTGGTACACAGGTCATCCCCTAGAACACAACGGTAGCACGTCCATTCATTTATCGTACGAGCGGCCACGCCGCGGCCGTTATTTTCCGCGCACCCAGAGATGGCACAGCTTCACGTCCCCGCCTTGAAGCAGGGCTGCGCCGATCAGCTTCACCCACAACCAGAAACAATCTGCCATAGCCTGAGTCACACAAACACTACAAAAATCGAACGCCAATCGCAGCGAGCCATTCGCCCCGCGGCTTGTCAACGCCCACATCATGCTCTTCTAAACGATCACACAAAAATAATCAGGGTGGTCCTTCGCTGTACCCGAGAGGCATAAGCCAGACGCCGAATCCATATATTCTACTATACAAACGCGGTGGTTACAATAAATTTCATTCATCCCATGGACGCGCAAAGTCACAGCCGCGTGTCCATTCAAAGATTCAGAGTACCGTTCAGACTGTCCAGCAAATACAATTCATGCTCCTCAGTTCCAATCCGGCCCTCTGACCACAACACCTCCCTTCTTGTTGGAATAAAAAACGTCTATGCAACACGGCAAGTCAGCCGGCGCCCCCGCCGTCCTGGAACAGGGGTCGTCTATCACAAGAGGTGCCCGTGCCTACGTCTGTATCCTCAATCTCGCGATTCACATTTCCGGTAAAACAAGCAAGTGCGTTGCGTTTCCGGCCGGGGGGGGAGCACGGGTCACGGGGGTAACGCATGTCACGCTCAAGTCCGTGCCGCCTGTCACAACAAGCGAACACACATCGGGGGCGGTGGGTCAGTGCCAGTGGGCAACTCTATTGCGAAGATAATATACGTACACCAAAAGGGGGGAAGAAGCGAACGAAGAACAGGACCAAGAGCTGACGAACGACGCGGACGAGGGAAAGACTGCAGGGAAAAACGCTTACTTCGAAGAACAATCTTCATACATGTGAAAAAAACGGCACCTATCTAGTGCACCTTCCAAGGCATCCGGGAACGCCAATACACCAAAAAAGAAAAGGCGCGTTCGTGTGACGTGGGTACTCCTATTGCCCAAGGGCAAGAGCGTGTGCAACCCGATCGAATATCAACTCCTTCCTTTGAATGCATAGGGGGACGTATATATAAGTGAATATATTTCTTTCACTTTTGGTCTTCTGGATGTTCTTCTTGCCTTTTCGCCTCCTGGATACAGCTCTTATTATTGTTACTTGGAGTCTTGCTGCTCTCGTTTACGCGAAAATCACCTCAAAACTGAGCCGGCCCCGTGCGCACAGAAAATTCGCTCTGTACTCGTAAAAGAGCGGGGGTGCATGCAGTGGACAGAGAGTCATATCGCCTTGTTATCTACTACAAAACGGCACGCGGTCATGAATGTGTCTCGCACGTGCTGCGACCTTCGCGCAAACAACGGCATCTACCGCACACGAACCACAAGCACGACAAGACCGTTTCACGAAGCCAACCTCCACCATTCAGCCCACCCCGCCCGCGCATCACCAACACGGGCGGGAATGAGAGGCGCAGACATGTCACGCTCTCATTCGGAGGTCGTCACGGCCATGCTCAACGCGTGGCTACCTCTCTCCCTCCCTAGCACACACCTCGTGCCCTCCCCCTTTCGCCCCAGCCGCCACCTCGGCTAGCTCCAACGCCTCGTCCTCGGCCTTAAGAACCAGCTCCATGTGTGCGTGCTGCCCGGCAACGACCCCGCCTGCCATGATCTTGCGGACGCGGTCCCCTCTCCTCCCGGACCCGAGGTAGTAGTGGAACAGCCACGCCGCCTATCGTATCAGAAACGGGGGGTGGGGGTAAGGGCGTACTCATGTTTAGAATGCCATAGCAGTTACATCGTTGACCACGCGTCCCCGCGAGGACGGAGCGTTGTTCCCACAGGACCGATCATCGATGGCCAATCGTTCCTTCCTACTCTTGCCAAAAAGTGGCCCAAAAACGTCTTCCCTACTGTAGTCTATCTGTCCTATCGATATCACTTCCCGCCTTTTCAACCCACTTCTTCTGCCCCAGTACGGCTACCGTCTTCTCCTCGCTACATCCCATGCCTCAGCCATCTCCCTGCATCTTCCTTCAAATTTTCCCAGCTCAGTCACGGAATTTTCCCATTCTTCCTTGTACAACAGACACATTCCTCCTTGTACAACGGACACATTTCTCCCACAGCACATTTTCTTGAGGAAAAAACGGTGCCCGGCCCCATCGTCGTCCTTGCCTCGTCTAGCTCTCGCCGTCGGCGTAGCGATTCCCTGACGGTGACCTTGGCGCTTTCTACGAGTCGGTCCGTCGCCGCGGACCACCCCAGGACGTGCCGTTGTTCCGGCGTCAGGGGCACGGGTTCGTTCGTCATCGAGTAGCTCAGCTGGCGGGCCGGAGTGATGGGACAGGGGATGGGGGAGAGGGCAAGATGCAGGGGGGGGGGAGGGGGGGGGGGGGGGGCCAAGGCCCAAAGAGAGAAAAAAAAAAAAAAAAAAAAAAAAAAAAAGTCCAAAACAAAGGCCGAAACCCGGGGGGAAGGTCCCCGGGGGGGGGAAGGGAAGGCAAAAAACCCCCAAAGGGGGGCCGCGGCCCGGGAGGGCCCCCCTCTCCCCCCTCAACAAAAAAAAAAAAG